GGTTTTTCCCCTCAAAGAAAGCCCTTGATAACACACAGATTTTGGGTGGAGTAAAAAGCCTTTTATTAATTTAAACAGCATTTTATCATTTTAAATAGCTAGAGAGTTCGTGATTTCTTTAGTTTGGTGGCAGCGAAGGTTTTACTCAACGTGACATCCCCTCAAACACTAGAATAGCCGAAGAGGTGTGAATTCCTTATTGAAGGAGGGACAGTGGTGGGATTCCCTGACCCCCCTGCCCAGAGAAGCCTCTCTAGGTTATTATAATTGGTTTGCAGTGGTGGGATTTCTTTGATTGTTTCCCCCCTGCCTTGATAAGCCTCGAAGTCCTTATAGCATACACAGGGAAAAATGAAAAACACAACCTGAAGAAAAACTGGGAAAATTGTTCTCCAAGCTATCGTCCACTTCCATGAGCATCATTAAAAGGTAACCTTTTAATCTATAAGAGACTGTAGATCCTGCATATGTATTGACCAATACAGACAGGTTGAGTAAATCTATTTAGAGATATGTAACATAACTTGCATTATGTGCTGTGTTTAAATCTATTATATGTTGAATCCCATTCAGTGCAGCACTTTCTCACTCTTGCATTCAGTAAAATACAAGGACTACATGGTTCCTGTGCCTTCAATTGTCAATGACAATGAGCAGAGAAGTATAGAAGCACTTGGTATAGATTGGTTCCAGGACTCCTCACATGTATCAAAAACCCATGCATGCTAAAATTTCGCAGACGTGGGCAACTAACATGTTCTCCATCTTGAATTCAAATAGATAGTGTTGTGTATATTAGCATCCATGGTAGGTTAAATCCATGGATCATGAGCCCATGGATATAGTAGGCCCATTGTATTTATTTTGAAATGATCTGATTCTACAAGAGCAACACAAAATTAAAGATGGTAAAATTTCCAGACAAGGGTTGGCTAAAGGTCCTACATGATACTCTGTGAGAGGAAAAGCTTTAGTAGCAGTAAGACCAGCACCTGTAGAAAATTTCTGGCTGGTTTATTTCTCTCTTCGATCAATAGGAGTATGGAAGATCACTCACAAGTATCGAAAACCCTTGCTACTTAAAGTGCAACTGTGGAAACCAAGTGGTTGGGCATGGACAGAGCAAGATAACATCATGCTCAAACCACCAAAAGAAAGTCTTGTAAGGATGACAAAGCTTGCCATCATGTTTTTGTTAATTATCTTATTACTTAATGTTTGAACTTTACTAATGTTAGTTAATTAAAGGGATCTTTGATTTGCAGTGACAGCGTTACTTTGGTGAGTTGGCCTCCCGGAGAGGGTGATAGTAGTTAGCAGATAAGAGAGATATAAATTGATTATATATTTAAATACACGAAGAAAAGAAGATAGGATGTAACTTTAATTTTGTGCCCTTTCTCTCTTTTTTTACTTTTCTCTCTCTCTTCATTTTTGTGTACTTTTAATATATTTGAAAAGCTTTAACAAATTTTCCAAAGTAAAAATGACAACAAGTGTGAAAGAATCCAACCAATCCAATTTATCCAAACTAAATGGCATGGCTAGGAGGGCCCTCTCGCTATCCTTTTGTCAGTAGGCAAAGTCTTGTTCATTATAACAGGCTTTAATGAACATTATTAAAGGTTTTTAAAGGTAATAATAATAATAATAACAACAACAACAGTAACTTTATTTTTGTACCCCGCCTCCATCTCCCCGAAGGGACTCGGGGCGGCTTACATGGGGAAAAGCCCGATCAACATGGTTAAAATAGCACATTTAAAATTCATAAAAACAGCAACAGCAAGAGCTTCTTAGGGCAGGGTGTACTTTCTAAAAATTGTACTTAAATATTTTTATTGTGAGTTTGAGGTTCGCTTTAATGTTCCTAATAATTTAATTCTGTTGTAATATTGCTTAGAAAAATTACACTTGCTATAAATTAAATTTTTCCTCAAGTTCTGTTTTTTAAAAAAGATGGCAATTATGCTTATATGATACTTGAGCAGGAAGGATTGGGGCATAATTACGCGTGCACAACACCCACTATTCCTTGAGTGAAAAACAGATATGAGCCTATTCACTGGCCACGTTCTCCTGATGTCACATTATCCCAATCAGCTCCAATTCCTGCCTTTTGCACTCTTGCTTCCTTGCTCTGAATCACAGGGAACAACCACATTTCCTTCTAGCATTTCTCATACTCCCTCCAACGTTCACTTGGGGAAGCCACCTCTTCCTCTCAGTCTATATGCCTTCTTTTACAGAAGAGAAGTTCCTGGCTGCTTTCACTCCTTCCCTTTTTATGGATGCTACAATTCCCACCTCCAGGAAGGTTCTGGCTGCGTATCTGTGTAATGACACTGAGAAGCTTGTTTTAGAAACAGGGGAGGGAAATGTCTGCCTCCTGTCTGCTTTTAAACTTTTACATCATCCCTTCAGCTTTAGAGGATAGTATCCTCAAGGCCTAAGTGAACATAAATGAAAATGCAGGATGTTGTACATTAGTTGCTAATCCTCACTGATCCAAGCTTCATTCACAACCGGGACACAAGAACTTTAAAGCTCAAATTGTGACAGGTTAAAACTGGTTGTGGTGCTCTGTAACAGAGCAAGAGACAAACAGAAAACAGTGCTTAGACCAGAATGTGAAGCAGGAAGAAAAATACCAAGTGAAGCATGTTATTCTTGTAATAAATGGGAAAATTGTATTAAATTGTTGTTATATTATCATCTTTACTTTGGAAGTTCGGAATTCAAATTCCTTACACCTAAAGGTCATTGATTTCAACAAGCTATTTCTACAAAGGACAACAGTTTTGAGTCCAAAGCTAGGAAACATTTATTTTTATTTACAGCTACCAGAATCCTTTAACAAGAATGTAAGATTAGACTCTGGAAGGTATAACCCAAAAATGTAACTTTTCTATCAAGCACCAATCAGCAGATATCATGTGTGGACCACAATTTCCTATAGGTCTGTGGTTGTTTTAAGAGTTGTCCCCCCTGAGTCCCCCCTCAGGGGTTGAGAAGGGCAGGGTAGTATACTAAATAATAATTATTTTTTGTCGTGTCAGGAGCTACCGCTCCTGTTGTGAGAGAATTGGCCGTCTGCAAGGACGTTGCCCAGGGGACACCTGGATGATTTTTGATGTTTATCATCCTTGTGGGAGGCTTCTCTCATGTCCCTGCATGAGGAGCTGGAGCTAATAGAGGGAGCTCATCCGCCTCTCCCCGGATTCGAACCTGCGGATTCGAACCTGCGACCTGTCGGTCTTCGGTCCTACCGGTACAGTGCTTTAACCCACTGCGCCACCGGGGGCTCCTTACTAAAGTTCTTACTAAATAAATTTCTGAGTCTTTAGACCAGTGCTTCTCAAACCATGCTCCTCCAGGTGTTTTGGACTTCAACTCCCAGAAATCCCAGCCAACTTAGCAGCTGTTATGAATTCTGGGAACTGAAGTCCAAAACATTAGGAGGAGCACAATTTGAGAAACACTGTTTTGGATAATGTAGATTTACAGAATTCATTGTCACATTTCAGTTGAAGGATCAAGAATGAGAACACCTATATCAGGAATGCCTGGGACTAGAAGTGCTTCTGATTTTCTCAAATTCTGGAACATTTGCATATATGTAATGAGATATCTTGGAAATAGAACCCAAATCTAAACACAGAATTCACCTCTTATACACATAGACTGAAGAGAATTTATACACAGTTTGCTTAATAATAATTTTGTGCAAGAAACAAAGTTTGTGTACACTGAATCATCAGAAAGCAAAACTGCCACTACCTCAGTCACCCATGAGGATAATTTGGGTTTTTAAAGCATTTTTGATTTCTAGATAGGGGATACAGTACCTTAAAGCCACCATGGGGTTCCACAGATAGTTAGAATGAACTTCCTCATTGTCTTTGTTTCTTATGTGGAGCTACCCCACTACACTGGCAACAGTGTCACTATGAGAAGTATCCACCTACCATCTAGAGCAGTGGTTCCCAACTTCTGGATCGCCAGGTGTTTTGGACTTCTACTCCCAGAAATCCTCACCATTTTACCAGCTGTTAGGAGTTGTGGGAGCTGAAGTTCAAAACATCTGGAGGACCAATGGAACCATTGATCTAGACAGGCATCCTCAAACTCTGGTCCTCCGGCTGTTTGGGCCTCCAACTCCCAGAATTCCTGACCACTGAACAAGCTGGCTAGGGCTTCTGGAAGTTCAAGGTACAAAGAGCTGGACAACCGGGGTTTGAGGATGCCTGATTAGTGGAGCAGGCAATCCGCTGGTAATAAATGCCAGGATTCATTCACCAACCCTCAAAAACTATTCTGCCTCAGTGAAGGCTAGGATACAACTAGGAGGATGTTGCAAGGTTTACAGTGTAGGCAGGACCAGACACCCAGACACCAACCCTGTTGAGGGAAGAAACAACATGTTCCTCTGACACTCAGCCAGAAATACATCATAGCTCGGAAAGTGATCTGGCCCATAAGTAAGCATTCATTTTGGACAATACGGCTGACAAAAATGAAGGAAAGGATATGACTATTTCTCTGCACAGAAATACTCTGGAACCAGCCAAATAAAGGTAATAAAATAAACATGACAAAGCTATGAGGAAGGAAATGGACAAGAAAATCAAATGACTGCCAGACAGCACATTTATAATGATTGATGGTAATTCTATTTTTCTTATCCATTTCCTCCTTGAAGTCTCCTCTTTCCTACAACTTGTTTGTGACATCAGAAGCCTTTCCCAGGCGTTTCCAAACAATGTCATGCAGTTCCCCTTCCTTTAGCCAGATCTGATGGCCATTTTAATGGTGTCCAAAATGGAATAAAAAAAGAGAACACTGCCATGACTGCCTCCTTCTGCTGTCACTATCACAGCAGCAAAGCCATAACTGCCAATTTCAGTCTAATAGATAAGTCTGAAATCATGCTGCAAGGGCTAAGGCCGTCAAGGGAGTAGGAATACAGGGATAAGTGTCACAAGCTACTGTTTGCTCACCTCATTGATACGGATCTGCTGAAGCTCTTGTTCAGCTGCTGTCAGAGGAGCTGGAGCAGAGCAGGACGACACATGCTTCTGGTAACCACTAAGTGAAACATCTTCCTGAAGGGGAACGAAAAAAGAGACATAGCAACCACAGATCTAGTTCAAGTATGACCAAGCCAATTGGCATCTTGAGTTCAATGATGGAAGAAACATGTGATATATACATGGACATATTCTACTAGCAATGTTATGCGTATCTTCAGGCGACATATTCCTTATCAGCTTTCTGACATGATGGACAGAGTGCCAAGGGAACCATCTCTCTCTATATGATCCTATTAGAACATTAAGGTTTTTGAGGGAGGCTCTCCTCTCTAAGCCCCTACCTTTTCAGTCTTGTTTGGTGGAAACAAAGGAGAGTGCCCTCTAAAGTGGATGCCCAGGCTTCAAAACTCCTTCCCTAGAGAGGTCAAGATAGCGCCCCTCCTTGCTCTTCTTCCACTGGCAAGGAAAAACATTCCTATCCTATTCTATGAGACTTTTGTGATGGGCTTTTAAGAGCATTCTCAGGGTTCTTCTTAAGTTTTTAGATTTTTTAAAAATTGATTTTTAAGAAGGTTTGAACTTTATAGATTGTTGAACTATTTTTAAACGACACACATCTTTCGTATGATTTTAACCTGTACCAGTTTTAATAACTTGAAAGCCACCTTGAGTCTTACAAAGGAGGGGAGGCTTTGTGTTTGACACATGATGTTTGATATAGCCACGTGAAGTCTGGAAAAATGTCTCCAGCTTAATTAGGAGTCATACTGTACTACTGCTGAGAAGAAAATACCAATGCCAGCAGATAATGGGCCACAGGTGGTTTGTATAACCTCTGGCCAAATAGATATGTAACTTGAAGATTCCTCCTATTAGCTGTAAACACACAGTTGTGGAGAGACTATCACAAGCGCAAGAATATTTTACAACAGCCTCATTTCATAAGCACTGCTGCCACCTCATGGATCTTTCCTTAAACCACAGGACAAAGAAAATACTTGTTAGCAAACCAGATTTTGCCACTTATTAATGTATAAAATGATCTTACATTTCATCAATATGACAAAGTCCAAGATATGAAGAGATTGCTGTACACATAGAAATCTATGCAATTAGATGTGCCTGACTGACACCCAAACAAAGGTTCCTGAATTTGACAGGAAATTTATATATCTCATTTTAGTTTTTCCTTATGAAGAAAAAGACAGGATGACTGACAATTAATGAAACCTGCAAGCTCCAACTCTGATATCTGTAAATTTTAGCCTATAATGCACCCCTCAAAATGACTAAATAAACTTTTCCTAAAAGAAATATGGAGCACTGGGAAATTCCACTATAGTTGCTTGAATAAAGTAATGGTAAAGGTTTCTCCTGACATAAAGTCTAGTTGTGTCTGACTCTGGGGGGTGGTGCTCATTTCCATTTCAAAGCTGAAGAATCAGCATTGTCCGTAGACACTTCCAAGGTCATGTGGCCGACATGACTGCACGGAGCGCCGATACCTTCCAGCTGAAGCGGTACCTATTGATCTATTCACATTTGAATGTTTTTGAACTGTTAGCTTGGCAGAAGCTGAGGCTAGCAGCGGGAGCTCACACCGCTCCCCAGATTCGAACCGCTGTCCTTTCGGTCAGCAAGTTCAGCAGCCCAGTGGTTTAACCCGCTGCGCCACTAGGGGCCCCTAATGGCTTGAGTACTATAAATGAAAAGAATTATTAGGAAGAATAAATACAAGATATGAGGGAAACTATCACATTTATGGTCCACTTGCCACAAGGGCCATCCCATGTTACACAGACAATTCAGATTGGGACCCCACTCAGAAATCCTGCACTGACAACGCATTCAAACTACATATTAAAGCATTTGGGGACTGTGTTTCAGTCATCTTTCACTCTCATCCCACCCCATGGGAATCCAGACAACACAGAACTTGCAAGGCAGGTACATTTGAGGAAAATAATGGGGAAAGGTACTACTTCAGCCTGCCTATCTATCTAGCTATCTAGCTTTGAATAGCACAAGGAAGGGTTAACACCCTTGTGATGTTTGTTTTGCCATCTGTGTCCATGTTCAGAAGATTTCACCTCATTTTTTGTCCCTGTGATAATTGAACTTTGAAACATTTGGCTTGTTGTGGAAACAAGGATTGGAGATAAAGCTTCAGTGGAGACACCTTGTCCTCATGATAATGCTTTCTGGAGCAAATTTCCCTTCCTGTTCTCTCAGCCCGGTTCTTTACTAAAGCCGGCTTGAGTCCCTTTCGGGGTAGAGAAAGGCGGGATACAAATAGAGTAAATAAATAAATAATTATGAGTCATTTGTAAGTCGAGTGTTTGTAACTTGGGACTGCCTGTATACATTTTCTACATAGTTTCTTCTCCTCCAATCTTAAAGAAGTAAAAGCTATTGGAGAATTATATTCTAACGTCTAGATGTAGAGTTTTGAGAAATATGGTATACAACACCAATAGTATAATGTCATTCCCCAAGAATGGCATTAAGCGGGAACTTGAATTTGTCAAATCTCCAGTCCCTAATTTAGAAAAGTGGCAATCATTCACAACATTTCTCATTCTTATAACAGGAAGGCAGTCTATTGAGAAATCACTGGCTTTTGGGCACAGTTCTTGACTCCATTGCAAGAATGAGAAAGGAGTGGCTTGACTTTTGCTGAGGTTGCTATGGTTTGCACAAAAAATGTATTTATGCAAAATGACAGGTGTTTCCTTTATGAAGAAAAGCACAAATACATCATAAGCACAGAAGGGCTGGACAGCTGATTAAAAATGCAATTACTCCATTAAGTGCCTCTAATTCTCAATTTCTATGCAGTGAGGCACCAGCTGTTGTGAATTTGTGCAGTTCATTCAACAACACTCTTGCAAATGTGAAACTTCTCCTGAGAGTAGCAAAAAATACCTTGCAGGGGAAAGATAATTTGGCAGGCAAGTATGAATTATCAGCCCTACCTTAACTGTTCCGAAAAGTTCATCTTTTACGTGTCCACCTCCAAACTCTTTCTTCACTGTTGCTCTGGTTGCAGCATAAAGCATTTTCAGTCTAACCTGGTCAGACAAAGAAAGAAAGCGAAACACCATTAGTGATTAAGGACAAGCCACTCCATGCTCCAGGAACTGATTTATGGCCTCTGTCAATCTTTCAGCACCAGATCACAGTGGTCCAAAAATGCTGGGTCATTTGTGCTTCTGGGACTTAGTTTGAAGAACCCTCCTTATTCAAATGAATGTCTTTATATGTTTTTAGAAGTACAGCACAACCCATGTATCCATAGGACCAGTACCTGTTTGAACAAGCCTTTGGAAATTCAGCATAATAACTGAATATGGAATTAGGAAAAGTGAACATGGAACGGCTTTTGGAAAATGAGTTAACAGGAAGTCATTGGTGATAATTTATTTATTTATTTACGACATTTATATGCTGCACTTCTCACCCCGAAGAGGACTCAGAGTGGCTTACAAGATATATATACATACAATACATTATATTATTAGTATAGTACAATATCAGTATTATATATTACTATATTGTACTATATCATTATATTGAAATATTATTAGTAATATTACATGTAATATAAAATATATAATTATAATATCATATTATTAGTAGTATTATATTGTATTACATTATAATATTATAAATATTATATGTATATACAATATATTATATTATATTATATTTATTATATTATAATCATAGCACAGGAGACAAGGTGGAACTGTCCCCTGGCCCCCTCTACACACTGTCTTGCCAAAGAAAGGAAATATGCCACACATTTGATCAATAAAGAGCAAGTAGTTTACTCTTCATAAAGCAAAATAACTATATGGTTATTATAATGTGCGTTAAATGTTTTTAATTATGCTTTATGAACAGTGTGGCATCGAATTGTTGCCAATGTGTGAGCTGCCCTGAGTTGTCTTCAGGCTGAGAGAGGCAGCATACAAACGCTATAAATAAACAAATAAAAACATATTTATCCACGTCCATCAAAATACGTCCTCTCTTAACATTTTCTATGTCCTCAGGCATGACTATGGTATTCTTATACTGGAAATCTTTCATTTCCACATTATTTACAATTTCATGTAACCACGTAAAGTGCAGCAAGTTACCCCTCCCATGCTATAACTGTTGTCAACTTCATGTTGTAAGAAGTTGCATTCCTCAGAAAAGTTTTTTTTAATTACAGCTCCAAGACTCCTCCAGCACTGAACTGTCTTACATGAGTCTACACTGGCTGTAGAATGCATTATAGGGCAGTGTAGATGGGGATTTGGTTACCAGTACTTGGCCCATTTTCATGCATCGCAAGCTCATTTCAACCTCTCTCACAATGAAGACTGAAACTGGAAGAGATACTCTGAAATGTTTTTAGAATATGTGCATACACTCTAACTTCCAAACAACAAAACAATTCAAGGAAGCTCAAAAATGTGAAATCCCAATAAGTTAAAAACTGAATGCAGCGTAAGCTGAGCAGAAACACCAAAATAAATTAATATATTTTTTGTTAAACAACTTGACAGAAAGCCTTTGAACTCAGAAGAATGTGAAAATCACCCTATAAAGGATTTCCTTTTCGTTCAAAGACCAACTGAAAGAAAGAAGGACACAATATACCTCCCAGGGAGTGAGTTGCACAGTTTTGATACGACTGATGAAAGCAAGCACCCAGAGGGAGGTCTACAAAGTAAGATCTTGAGATATAAGCAAAGTCCTATGGAGACAGCAGTACTTAAGGCACAATAAGCCCTTGCAATTTAGAGTAGAGGTAGGCAGAAAGTAGATCTGGATCTTGTGATCCTGGGTATCTGAATCAGATTGAAAAGCATTTTAACTTCTACTTGCTTCACAATAACTACAAAGGAATAACACACACACACAGTGCTCTAAATAATGCTGAGAGCAGGAAGGAATTAATCAGATTTGGAGGGGGAAAACAATTTTGTTAGTTCTTCTGGATCTTTCAGCAGTTTTTGACAGCCATTGACCATGGCATTCTCCTGGACTGCCTGGTTGGGATGGGACAGGGAAGCATTTTTACAGTGGACCCATTCCTACCCGAAAGAGTGAACTCAGAAGGTGGTGCTAGGAGACTCTTTTTCAACCCTTTTAGGCCATTTATCAATGGAATCCCTCAGGGTTCGGTTTTATCCCCTATGGCAGTGGTTCTCAACCTGTGGGTCCCCAGGTGTTTTGGCCTACAACTCCTAGAAATCCCAGCCGGTTTGTCAGCTGTTAGGATTTCTGGGAGTTGAAGGCCAAAACATCTGGGGACCCACAGGTTGAGAAGCACTGCCCTATGGCATGTATGAAATTGCTGGGAAAGGTCACCCAGAGTTTCAGGGTTTAGTGCCACCAGCATGCTGATGACACTCAAGTAAGCTGTTGCAGTTATAAACAGGTATTTCTTGTCAGTAAAGAACTGGATGCAGGAAAACAAACTGAAGCTTAACCCAGAGATAACCCTGAAGACCAATTGCTTGAACACTGTTCTCATCCTAAATATCTCTGCATCACCTTAGATCAAACACTAACATTTAGGAAACACGGTATGAACACGAAACACAAAGTAGCTGAATGCAATAACATCCTGTGGAAACTTACTGTTAGCTCATGGGGTGCAGACCCAAAATTAATAAGAACATCAGCACTGGCCTTGTCTTACTCAACTGCTGAGTATGCCTGTCTGTTTGGAACAAGTCTGCCCATGCAAAGCAGGTGAATATAGCACTGAACAAAATGTGTAGAATAATCAAACCTACACCTGTTGATAGACTCTATAAGCTAGCTGGCATTGCCCTCTGCGATGTGCTGCCAAATGTGAGAGGAAATAAGGTTGAACACTGTGAAAGGTATGCACTGAATAACTATCAGCCTCCTCCCAGTAGACTCAAATCAGGGAAAAGTTTCATGAAAACCACAATTTCTCTCAATGTTCCACCAGCAATAGCAAGAGTTTCCCTTTGGGCAGGTAAACCAGGAAATCCCAACTGGATAGCCCCCCCCCCCCCCCCATGAGGGTCTGCCTCCAGGGGCAAACCAAGAATGGGCAACCTGGAAGTCCCTGAACAGACTCAGAAGTGGAGTGGGCATATCAAAAGACCACCTGGCAAAATGGCACTTCCTAGAAGAATCGTCCACCTTGTGCAACTGTGGAGCAGAACACACAACTCAGCATCTGTATGCTTGCCCACAATGCCCTGCCTCATGCACAGAGGAAGAACTGTTTAAAGCTTTGCCCGTTCTTGGTCTAAAATTATTTAGCTGCTTGTGTTCCCTGTATTTTATCAGTTTTATACTAGTTTATGCAATGCTTTTGACACAAAATAAATAAATAAATAAACCCTGAACAGTTAAAGGGTAGATCAAAAAATCCCTATTCAATCTGTGCTGGATGAATTTAAGCACCCTTTGAAGGCCCACATTTTGGACTCATTCTAAGAGTAAGCCCTGAACCTGGCTAATCGTATTTGAATGGTGGTTAGGAGTGTATTTGCACAATTTAAACTGGTACACATCCTGCACTTTGTTCTAGGGACACTTATTTGGCCCTTGTGACACTCACTTCAGTTACACATGATTTTAATTACTGCAATGCTGTCTATGTGGGAATGCTCTTGAAGAACAGAAACTCCAGCTGATCCAAAGAGATGAACCCAGACTGTTAACAGGGGTTTATTACAGAAGTGCACAACAGCTCCTCTGGCTATAAGTTAGTTTCTGAGTACAATGCAAAATGCTGGTTGTGACCTGTAACTCCAGACAGTTCAGATCCAGGGTATATGAAGGAATGCGTTTCCACCCTCATCCCCCATGAGCTTGTCTAAGCACCAAGATTGTTGGAGGATGCACTTAACTCGATCCTACTTCCTATTCTGAGATGGTTTGTGCAAGTACTTGAAAGGGCCTTCTCTGTGGCTGCTCCCAGGCTCTCTTCCTAAGCAGGCATTTTCTTTCCTAACCTTTTCTCAGCAGGTGAAGACCTTTTAATTCCAGCATGACTGTTTTAGCTGTACAGTAGATGGCTTAAGAACGGCCATAGTAGGACATTCTGGCCACACTCCACCCCTGTTCCCCTTTAAGGCTAAATAGGCAGGTACTTCTTCTCTGAATGGCCTGCAAGATTCAGGCAAAGCAAAATTTCTTTAGCTGTCCGCCAGATGGCAGGATCGCTCTAATATGAGAAGAGATTCTAAGACTAAGAGTTCTGCAAAAATCCTGGTAGAAACAAGAAAAGTGCCAGGGAATGTGCTGAAAGAATGAATCCCTCAATACTTTCTCTCAACACTGAAATAATATTTCCTATGATGTCGTCACATGTTAACCCAATATTTAGGATTTGGAATAGGATATGTGTGTCTGTATCGGTGTGTTAGAATACAGCAGATTATTCCTGTGGTTGCTGTTTTTATAGGTAGTTTATGCATTAATCAAAAAATAGTGAGAAAGGCTATAATTAGAAATCAGTAACTTTCCGTATGTAATAGGCAAAAAGGTCCTAATCAAAGGCCTCTTTGGTCCTAGGCATTGAAGATTCTTACCTACCATTGTGAATGCCATATGACTCCCATTTTGTTCTAAAAACAACAACATAGCAGCACTGTGAACATAAGTAATCATTATATGACACTAGTGCAATGCACTCAGTGCAGCTCCCCCCATTAAGGCTGTACATACCATTAAGCAAAATAAGCATATACTTAGAGGTTCAAAAGAAAGGGGGTCCCACATACATTTTCCCTTTGCTGAATTTATCATGGACCATATGATGCAAAACTGCAGTGGGTGCAGCTGAACCAGGTTCCACAAAAGGGGGCTCAAAAAAGTGGAGGAAAACTTTTCAAATATAAATAAAGGGGAAGTATGCAAAAAAATAATCCCATTTTACTGTATATTTTGATTCATTTTGAAAAATAAAAAATGATGGTTTATTATTGTTTACATTTTGAAATAGTTATATGTGGGGCACCAAAATCTTTTATGGCTGGTCCAGAATGCTTCTGAGTGGAGCAAACTCTCAGCAGCATGCAGGACCTCTGATGAAGACACGACGCTGGTTATTAATTAGCTATAGGACCAAGTTAAAGATTTTGCTGGGAGTACCTAAAACCCTTTGCAACTTGCGAGTTGGTTTACCCAAGAGATCCAACTCTACCTAACAATCCTGTTTGTCATTAAGGTCACTTCTCCCATTCTCTACAGTTCTTTGGAGCAGAGCATTTAGCATGGTGGAATCCATTCTGCTGAATACTCTTCCCTCAAGATTAAGCACACTGACAACTCTTATTTTTATGTGCATGTTGGTAACACCTATTTTGTCCAAGCCCTCCTACACCAAGCTTGCCATGCATTTTTGGGTTAATGTAAATATTGATTCCAAATAAATACTGTTTTATACTGTGTGTTTTATAATTTTGAGCAATGCTTTGAAATCTTTAGATGCCAGTGGTTTACAAACATGCGCATGCCAAGAAACAAAGACAAAGTCATCCCAAGGGAGTGGGGGGAGTGTGGTGAACATTTGGTGTGGTCAAATTTCTTGTAGTCAATCACATGTTGAAAAACATGAAACAAACAGCAGATACTAGAAGGAGGAAATGATTGAAGTTTTTCATTTTGAACTTCATTATTTTTCACCAAAGGAAACCTATATTAGAATGAGTGAATTTGAATGCAATTGCCTAGTAATTATCAGCATTTACAGAACATTACAGAATATATCTAGATACAAAGCAATAGGCAATCTACATGCTTCTCAAGAATACTACTTCCCTGGGTGGTATAGGAATGTGTGAAACAGCTGTTCCAGAAAGAAGCAGTTACCATACCCTTTAATTCTCAACCCCCACACGCCAGGTAATTATGAACCTTAGAAAGGGAACTTACATAGAGTTCCATTTAAGGGAAGTACAATCAAACACTTACAGGAGAATTGTCAGGAGACCAGGAAATAAAAAGCCACTCATAGCCCTGTGCATTCTGCGTGTCCAGGCGGTAGAGAATGTAACATGGTTCCAGTTCATCCAGCAGCGGCAACACAAAAGAGTCATAGTCCTTATCCCACCGCCGAGAAAGTTCTTTGTAGGCTCCAAGCACCAATTGCTCTAAAAATCAGGGTTGTGGAAAAGTAAGGACAAGAGAGAGAAAAATGCATAAGCAAAAGAAATGTCATACTTAATATAGCATGGTAGAAAAATTTACAACACTCAAACACCCTTGGTACAGCCCACATCTTGTTGGTTATAATAATGAGCACCTAATGTTTTGTTCCTTCTAAGAAATATCCAAAATGCTCATGGTTCCAGAAACAAATATGAGCATTTGATAAAGAGGAAATCTATTGTTATGTTTTCTCACACCCATTACTTGGTGGGGGGAAAGTATGTAATTAATAAAGCAGGTGTGGGTTTTGTTTTTGTTTTTTGTTTTTTAAATGAAAGCATACCATTACTCTGACCATAATTACATTTCAACGCTTTATGGGCACTAGTGCACATGTGGAGTTTCTATGCAAGCATAGGCTTAATTTGTAACTGTCAAGAACCTGGTAGACTCATTCCTCATTGTCCTGTACAGCTGCCCATGTGCCTGGATCCTCTTGACCAAGCTGTAATATGCTTACACAAAGAACTGGCAATGGTGAGATGTAAAGAACACAAGGAACACAAATGTTTTCCTTCTCCACCAAACATCAAATGCACAGATATTAAGGGTTCTTTTTAATTAAAAAAAAATAGAAGTATCATGTACTATATACTATCTAAGCATCCATGATATTTATGTAGCTGGATAATCCACTTCAAAATGGAAAAAAACAAAACACAACTTGCAATCATTATTATCACTGTTGTCATCAGGCATGCAACAGATTATCGAATCAGTTCTCCCTAGGAATGCAAAAAATCTCCTCGCACCACGTCAACTCTGACTATTGATCCATTTAGGTCAGTATTGTGTGGACTAAGTGGCAGCAACTCTTTAAGGAAACATTTAGCATTCTTCTTTGCTATCTGGAGATGCCAGAGTCTGAACTTGAGACATTCTGCATGCTTTGCATGGACTCCACCACTTGGTTATAGCTGCTTCCTTTTCCATAAAAGGAAAACGGTGCTCCATGCAGTCATGCCACCCATATGACCTTGGAGGCATCTACGAACAACATTGGTTCTTCAGCTTAGAAATGGAGATGGGCACCAACCCCCAGAGTTGGACACAACTGGACTTAATGTCAGGGGAAAACCTTTACCTTTTACCTTTCCATAAAAACAAGAACTGCTTAATGACCCTGATGATATCTATAACTAAGTGATGATAACTCGTGTTGCTGCCTGAAAAAATGTCAAACATAATCTCAAGAGGAAAAACTGTGAGACTTGGAATGGTCACATTTCTTCCCTTGGCTTCAAAGTTTATAGAACAAGAGTTGCGTATTGGTTTGAGTATTGGACTGGGATTCCGAGAGACCAGTGTTCAAATCCCCACCCTACTATGAAAGCCCACTAGTGACCCACTAGATCAATGTTTACATACATATAAGGAAATTTAATACATTTCCATAAGTTTTTTTTTTAAATGTTTTGCTTGTACTCAATTTCTGATTCAGGGAAAATGCTAAGCAAGAACTACTAGAACTAAGATCTACTGAAAAAGGGACTGGTGGCTGCTGTCTTCACAGAGGAGAGTGACATCCATCCGTTACATCATCTGTTTTGTTTGTGCTACAGTTAAGTCTTCCAAGAAAGCAAGATCAGACTGTGTCTCTTAGGAACACTTTAGTCTCACGCTAACTCATTTTTCAATTTATACTGGATAAACACACGAGCGCACACACAGAGCAAAGAATGTTAGTGATCTTTGCCAGAACTCAATTACACAATGCACAACCACACACATTTATTTAAAATAGAACATGTATGTAACTCCCTGGCCACTCTGAGGAGTCCACAGCTCTCCTGGCTCCACTGTCTGTTCACCACATCCAAGTTCTTTTGATATATAAACACACACAACAACACCAACAACAGTTTAATTTCAGGAGCATTTCTAAAAGTGGAGAAAATGAAGAATGGGGAGTATTAGTGTGATTAATATCATAGCCCCAGAAATGCTTGCTTCTTTTTAGCATGGAAAACATATTTTCAAATAAACAAGTACTTCCTGTTATTTTATGTTAATCTCGCAAGGTTTTGTTGGTAGAGGAAACTGTGAAGATTTAGCAATTTGGAAGGCTTTCCTTCCACTGTTTGCAAATAAGCAGATTAAAAGTGCCTTTTAGAGAACAACACCTAATCTGAACACTATATTTCTCACCCGAATGTACAGCACTGATAATTCAGAGTGTCTCAGTACGCCAAATGCTATCTAATCATGGAAGGTAAATAGGACCAAGCCTAGTTATGCTTTGAATGAGAGACTGAAATATGCCTTGCAGCAACCAGTATTCCTTGGCAAACCACCTCTGACTGTTCCTTATCTAAGAAAGCCAGTCTGAGTCCCTCTACAGAGGTTAGAGAAGATTGGGATATAAAAGTTCTAAATAAATAAATAATAAATAAAAATCCCTAGGAAATTCATGGGGCTATTAAGTCAATATATGGCATAAAGTCACACACATGCATGCACATTGGTGTTTCCATTGTTCAAATATATGTGCACAGACTCAAAACCATGATACAACTACAAGGTAGTGTGATTCTACATTTCATTCTCTCTCAAGGTTGACATTAATCCTGATTCTAGGAAGAAAACCCCAATCAGCATGGCCACTGATTAGTAAGATAAATCAAGATCCTGAAAGGAGGGCACCTACTAGGTTAGGGGACAACTGTCTATATAGAAGTCTTATAATCCAAAGTCCCACCTATCCTCCTTCATTATTTCTCTCTCTTGTTGAAAATTACATATAGGTACAAACTCTGTTTTTAAAATCCTATCTAGTACAGGAAAAGAAAGAGGCACCAATAAAATACACACACATTGCTCAATAATGTGAGATTGTTGTTTATTCATTCAATCGTTTCTGACTCTTCGTGACCTCATGTGACAGTACAGAGAAGCAAAACACACATTTGAAAATCTCGTACACCACAGGCACATGCTTTGAACTACATGCCCTGTTATTCATAGACCCATAGTGTTGACCCTCAGTGACCTCAATGGCCACTGAGTCCAACCCTCTTAAAGCAGGATCTTCAGCTAGAATATGCCTAACAGGTAGATGTCCAACAAGGAGACCCTACCATCAGTTTAGACAAGTGATTCTATTGCTGAATGACTCCCACCGCCCAAGAGTTCTTTCAAATATTTAGTATATGTTCATGTGAGGTTTTTAACTAGAATGTTAAATTATGCTTTTAATGTTGTTTGTCTTATGGGGATGTATACATTTTCAATGTGACAAACTGTTAATTTCACATATGTCAGTGTTTATTATTATATTTTATGTTATGTAATCTGTCTCCATAATGTTGTATGTCGCTTTGAGTCCCACTCTGGGAGAAAACTGGGATAGAAATAAATAAATACATAAATACATAAATAAATAAAATGTACTGTCCTGTAACTAAAAGTCATTAGACCAGGCTCTATTCCCCACAAATTTGATGATTATCTCAACCACATCCTATAAATCTATATAAATAAAAATGTAATGTTTGTTTATGGGTTTAACATAACTCAAAAACCACTGGATGAATTGACATCAAATTTGGACACAATACATGTATCAGGCCGATGAGTGACCATCACATAAAAAGAGTGAAAAGCCAAAAAAATTACAATGCATGTGCAAAACCACACACACACACATATATATACACAGACACACACATATACACAAATATATACATACATATATACACACATATACATACACAAAGCACACATACACAGAATGGGCCACAGCAACGCATGGCAAGGGACAGCTAGTAATTGATAAAAATACAGCGTTGGTCCAAGGCCAGGACTCTGAAGCACTCAACTTGAGGCCTTCTTTCAATTTGAAGCACATCCACTATTAAGCATTTGTTCTAAGTGTGCACTCTCAAGCTCAGTTTGTCTTGTCATAAGTCTCTGTGAATGAAACAACTCTGTTATTAACAGCCTTGCTCAGGTATTTCAAATTCAGAACTGCAAATTGTTCTAATGCAGTCTTCTTCATTTCTTTCTTACTTCTGTTTTGACAAGCGTTATGATAATTTCTTATGAGTTATGAAGTCTCATAATGTGGCCAAAATAAAATAGCCTCAATTGAGTCATTTCCTGTAAGCAAAGCAAAGCGAAGATCTTGCAGATCATTCACTTTAAACAAGGCTGCAACACATTTTTAAAGGGTTATTTATTTTTAGTACCTAACAAAACTGCAGCTGTAGACACTACTTTATAGTAAGTTTTTTTTCTCTTTTCTTGGAAAAAGAGAACACCTAATTTAAGACAGACCCCGCTGTAATATACTGTTTCTTCTGAAACAGAGGTCACCAACATTTCTGGGCCAACTGGGGACATCTGTAACTTGGAAGTGTGTCAAGAGATGCTCTCATAAAAATAGTTGCTATGGAGAAGGGAGTTACTCATTCATAAAATAGTTGCAATGGTGGAGAAGACCACTCAGTGAACATTCATTTCCAAGAAGATAAACAAAGGCATGGTTTTCTGCTCCAGTACTCACTTCATAAAAGGCAAACTGATGAAACACAGAGACGAGTAACTGAGTAAAAGACTGGGAGGTTCTGAATTTCAAATTCCAAAATATGTACTTGCCTTTAAAAAGCGCATACACACAGAGAGTATTTATCCATAAACTGGTGATATCAGAGAACACAGAAACCATCACCCATTCACACCATCCACAAACAGACGTTATATACCAGGCAAAACATATACAGATAACAAAGCAAAACACTCTCCGTATTCCCTATCACCTTTTCCAACTCTCCCCTCAGATATTCCCTACCACTATCAACCAATTTATCTTTTTCAGTTTTTCTTGGTTGTTGGGTACATTTTTAAATCATTGAGTCATAAAGTTGGACTCCAGCAAAGGATCGCTGCCTTGTCAACTTGTATGCAGAACACATCATGCGATGTGCGGGGCTTGACAAATCCA